TAGTGACACTCCTTGACACTGGTGTCGTCCTGCTTACTGAGTGACAATGCATTTGGACTTCAATCCATGCTTCCTCGGAGCTCTCCTCCCGGAACTTCTCTTCCCCAGGCAGCTGCTGCTGGGCTGTGTCTTGGTGACTGTCACCTCCTCGGACAGGCCTCCCTCCGACATGCCGCTGCTTGTATGATCTTGTTCATTTGTTTCTTCCCTCTCCCCATGTCACTTGCCGTGTCAGCTCTGTGGGAGGGTGGCCTTGCCTGTCTTCCCCACTGCTCCACGCCATCCTTAGGCATACGGTAGGCATTTAACAAACATACCGTAGATGGTAGAGTGGATAGTACTCCAAATAAACTCTTGAGGGAGGGAACCTTCTCCAGTTTACTAAGCGTCTTTGCCAGTTCTGTAGTGTCAAATAAACACGCAAGTCCCATTGACAACGGGGAGAGGAGTGACTGTTTACAGGAAAGAAGAAATGTCCCTCCTTTTCCTTCCTGGTTCTCCATAGAAGTTGGAGGAGGTTAGAAGGGTGCCCTGGGTTTGCCTCTGACTGTGACACACCCCTGCTCTGTGGGTCGCTAGGCCCACTCACTCCACACACGCTCACTCTGGGCGGGAGCTTCCCGGCCACCAAACTTCAGGTTGGTGCCACACAGAGTCAGAGCTCCGATTTTTTTTTTTTTTTTTTTTTTTTTGCGGTACACGGGCCTCTCACTGCTGTGGCCTCTCCCGTTGCGGAGCACAGGCTCCGGATGCGCAGGCTCAGCGGCCACGGCTCACGGGCTCAGCCGCTCTGCGGCATGTGGGATCCTTCCGGACCAGGGCACGAACCCGTGTCCCCTGCATCGGCAGGCGGACTCTCAACCCCTGCGCCACCAGGGAAGCCCGAGAGCTCCGATCTTTAATCCAAGATGGTCAGGGCTCCTTTGTCAGTCCCCCATTGGGTGTTTGGGGAAGATGCTCTTTGAGCTCACGAACGCAGGAGGGACAGGAGGAAGGGACAAGGGGCTGTAGCCCAGCCCTCCTCTCTCGCTGCCTCTTCCCCTCTTGCCCTCTATTATTTTGCTGTCTGCCTTGATTCCTGTTAGAGCCAGTCAGGGTGTCGTCTGCTGGTGCTGGGGAGAAAGCAGACAGCGCACAGAATGTGTACCAGGTTTGATTTTAGGCGATACCAGAAGCTCAGGTGAAGGGTTATTTCTTTATAGAGGCAAAGAAAATCCTCAGGTTGACATTTCTTAGCGATACATGACCAAGAGCCTGTACTTTCGGTAAAAATGTTCATTCAGCTGAACAATTTTTCACTCCATGATGTTTTCCTCTCCAGCGAGGGAAGGAGAGGCAGGGGGTGAGGGACGTGCCCCATGCACACCGGCTTCCAGCTGGCCCGGGGCACCCTTCCCAGAGCTGCGACACGCACACCCCTATTCCTGACCAACTCAGCCGCAGGGAAATCAGTGGCAAAAGTAATTCCCACCTAGTCAAATAGTTTCTTTTCACCTGGTGCAGAAAACCTGCTTTAAGCAAGACAGCTGATGTGTTTGAGAGACGGGAAGTGACTGAGGGTCCCTGGGCTTCCTGACCTTTCTCTCTGTGGCGGGGTGGGGGTGGTTGAACCTTAAATTCTGGGTGAAGACGGGACCTGGGCGGGGTCAGCCCAGCCTCTGCCCTTCGGTGCCTCCCCGGGTTCAGAGGGGCCCATCAGGAGAGAAGCAGACAAGGACAGAGGACATCACACATAGAACACGCTGGAGCATTTGGAGAGGGAGGGTGGCGGGAACAGCGTTGATAAAATACCCGTTACTGGTTTCCCTTCAAGATGGAGGGGGCGACGGTTCCACCTTTAAGCAGGTTAATGTTAAAAACAGAGTGGCTTCATCGTTAGCTCTAGCCGCTGTTAGAGGTAGGCTAAGAGCTGCATGTGGAAGGTGCTGGGAAACAGAGCATTAGGGTCCTTCAAGGCCAGATCACAGGCATCCTCTGTCCTGGTCCAGGTGCGAGCATTTCACAGTTTCCCCAAAGGATGTGGGCGCTAAAATTACAGGTGCACTTGGTTAATTACATCCCCTCCTTAATTGCGGGCTCAGACGGCCAGGTGGTCATTATTTTGATTGGTCTAATTAGTCAGATGTGTCTGCGAGCAGCTGCATACCACATTCTGGGCAGGGCCAGGAGAGGCACCTTAGAGAAGGTCCAGCCTTTGGGAAATTTGTCCACAGATGCATAATGAGTTCCTAACAACCAGTATGGCTAGTGACGAAAACGCTTCAAGTCCTGTGATGAGAGTTTAAAGAGAAGAAATGTAAAAGGCCTGTTTGCACAGAGAAAGGAAGACTAGCGAACATTCGGTGCCAGTTAGGGAGAGGGTTTTGGTTTAGCCAGTGATCGAGCTGCCTCATTAAGTCAAAAGAGTAATCCAACCACCATTTTTGTACATAGCGAAATGTACAAAAGAGATTGCACCCAACCGTTTTTACAGTAGAGGCTTCAACACTCTTCCCACAGGGGGAAGTCACCCCAAGGGAAACAGCAAGAGATCCTGAGGGTGGTCAGACTGGGGTGGTGTCCTCGGGAGAAGCCCACCCGGGAGAAGCTCACCTCTGCTTTTCTGATTCGTGTGAAGGCTCAGTCCAGATCTTGCACCCGGCCCCTGCCGGCTGGCGACCTCTCAGTGAGCCTGGAGGTCGCGGCTCTTTCACAAAGCCCCTCCTCTCGAGCGCTGTGTCTCTTGGGTGACTGCGGTGGGATGTCTGTTTCTTTACTGGGACAGGAGATCTTTTACAAAAAGCTCCCTGGGCCCCTCTGAGGGCCCGGCCGGTACCCGTGCTGTGTGATCTGACTGACACTCTGGTTTTGTTTCTGTCTAGATGAGTTCTGGTTCTCCGATGGGTCCTTATCAGATAAGTCCAAGTGCGCAGATCCCGGCCTGATGCCCCTCCCGGACACGGCCACGGGGTTAGATTGGTCCCACCTCGTGGATGCTGCCCGGGCGTTTGAAGGTAAAGACTCACAGCCTCTGGGGCCGGGGCAGCAACACAGGGATCGTCCGGGTTAACGTCTGGATGCTCTGAGCATCTTCCAAGAGGAAAACCAGGGGATGGCTTGGGCTGAGACTGAGGGCCTTTCCTTAGGGAGAACCAGGCACGCAGGGAAGCAGCACCGGGCAAAGGGCCCCAAACCTGCTTCCAGGTCAGGCGCCAGCTGTGACCTGGCAGGTGTCACTTGTCCTCTGACACCTGTGTTTTCTTACCTGGAATGTAGAGGTGGGGATCTAGGACACAGACTCTGTCTTTCCTCCCAGCGTGACGAGGTGAGACAGGAGGAGAAAGCCTTTCAGAGGTCCAAGCCACCCAAACAAGCACAGGCCTAGGCCTCTGGTGGCTTGGGGTCCCTGCAGACTCTGATGTGGCCTCCTTGACCCAGCGGGTCACCCGGCACGGGCCCCGGCTTCCTCCTCTAACCATGTGGTCAGGATGGCGCTGGGCTGGCTGATCTCTGGGGCCCTCTGGCTGTCACACTGCCCTCCACGATCTCTGGAGAAAGCTTCTGTGAATTTAGGAGGGGAAGCTGCACCTTTTCTCCAGCCTAAAGGTAAAGGGGGCCACGGACAAGGGAGACGCTTGCCTCCCAGGCACCCTCTGCACCTTACGCGTGGGTCCAGGGACCCCGGCGACCCGGATTCAGACTTTCTGCCATTTGCTGCTACATTCTCTCCATGACCACAGCCTCTGCACCTGGGTGACCTGTCTGAGACTCCCCTGTGTGTCTGCGTCTTCACTGCCGCCCCCCAGGGATGGCCATGGCCACCTGAGTGGCCCTTTTCTTTCCCTCTCCTTTGACTCACCAGCTCTGGTCATCGGTTCCCGTCACCTGTGACGTGCAGGCTTCAGGAAAGGGATTCAGATTCCTTTCCCAGGAGGGGCAGGTGCACTTTGCAGTCAGGCTGCTGCAGGCTGTGGAGGTCAGCTGCCCTGACTTCCTGTCTAACGAGCTGCCCTGCTAGGCAGTTTCTCTCATCAGTTGGGATCAGTGCCTCTGGTCCTAAGCACCATTTGGGGGGGAGTCTGGGGGAGGGGTGAGTCGAAAGCTCCTCTCAAGCTAATTCAGGGACACCTTAATTCAGTACAGGGACGTTTAGCTCTGGTAGATGGGGGGCGGGGAAAGTGTTGGGAAGAAACTCCTGCAACAGGCACGGGCTGTTTCTGCTCCCTTACTAGACAGAGTACAACGGTTTGGGGTTTGCTGCTTTACAATACTCGTCCCGTGTGGAAACTCGAGAATGCCCCCGTCTGCTTGGTAACGCAGCCTTCATTCCTCTCAACCAGAAGATGGTTAGGGTGCATTATAACAGCCCCTCCGAACGCTGGCCCGACGTGACCGAGCCCCAGAGGGCACGAACACAGTCTCCCCTCTGTCCAGAGCGGCCCAGGCAAGACGGAGCAGCATTGTCTCTGGCCCGTTCCGTGCACACTGTTGTCTTACTGCCCGAGGAGAGTGTAAGAACTTCCATTCTGTCTTCTCCATTCCCCCACTGCATAGATATTAGCGTAGTGCTTACCACACTGAATTCTGCATTATTCACCTCTCTGTCTCTTCCTATTAGATGATGAGTTTCTCAAGGGAAGCCTGCTTCTTCAATTTATCTTATCTCTATTGAGCAAGTGCAGATCAAGATAACCGAATGAGGAGAGCTCATACAAAGGAGCCAGTAGGTCCAAATGCACAGGGCCCTGTGCACCCTTGGGCTGTCTCAGCTCACAGCATAATTTGTAACCTCTGAGGTTCTTCTGCATTTTGTGTCCATTTTTCTGATTTAAAACAACACATATCACTTTGTCTCCACCCTCATTTGTGTCTTTGCCTGGCTCCCTTCCACCCCTTCCGAATAAAATCGCTGCTGTGAAGTGGAGTTTTTCAGGGAGCTGGGCTGCAGGTGGGAGGGCGAGAAAGCAAAATGGTGCAGACAGCAGTGACTGAATTTTCCATCCGGGGGCGGGGCTGTGATTGTGATCGCAGTCCTACGGCTGGGCTGCTGGCCTTTGGACAAGTCACTTAGCTACACACCTTGTGCCGACACTGAGTGTTGGACACCAGTCCTCTAACGTACATGCTTGTGTTGGGTTTCAGCCTGCTTGTCTATGAAATGAATTCCTTTCCAGAGAACCTGGAAGGCTTCTCCCAGCCCTACCCTCCAGTTCTGCAGTTCCATTCTTCAGGGTATTTCTGAGCTGGAGTTAGAGGCTAGCTGGGAGTTGGCATCGTCAGACAAAGGAGGAAAAAGCACAGACATCCCAGCTAGCCAGTGCCTCAGGGGCAGGGGTACCTAAGTTCAACTGAAAGAATGTGGGATTCTGTTTGCAGGGGGAGAGGACTTTGGTTACCTGACCTTTCTGAACTTTCCAATCAACATTTTATAGAAAATGTGGAAAGAGTTGAGGTTGTGTTTAAAAATTTCAGTTGTTTTCTGTGCTACTCCGTAGGGTAGCATGCCACCTTGAGACATTAGTCAGCTCAGGAAAATTCAGGAATTTGCAACTCCAGACCTTTGGCTAATCAGATTCTTTTGTATCCCGCTGTGACACAGGTTGGTATGGTGGTGACCGGGTGTGATCCATTCCCTTAGCACTTTTTAAAAAAATTTATTTTGTTGAAGCATAGTTGATTTAGAATGTTGTGTTAGTTTTAGGTATACAGCAAAGTGATTCAGTTACACGTGTATAGAGATGATGATGATAGATAGATAGATAGATAGATAGATAGATTAGATGATAGATAGATAGATTCTTTCTCAGATTCCTCTCCCTTATAGATTATTACAGGATATTGAGTATAGTTACATAGCACTATACCAAGTAGTTACAGGATACTTAATGGAAAAAAAATGTTTTTAATGTTTTAAGTAGATCCCTTAAGTATAGAAACTAAACAAGGGTATCCTTTGAGACTGTGTCCTCTGATTTTGTATTGGAATCCTTGACATTTAAACAAGCAATGAAAAGAAAAAGGGAATAAATTTTGGAAGTAAAGAAATATTTATAGATATGATTCTATATCTAGGAAATATTTTAAAAATCAAAAAGAAATTATTAGAGATTATAAAATAGAGTAGGTGAGATATTTTAAAATATATTTCATAGTTTTATAAGCCTCATTTCAAAGCATTGTTAATTTTTTCAGTTATCGATTTCTGTATAACAAACCACCCCAAAATTTATGGCTGAAGACAGCAGTGGTTTGTTATGTCTGACGATTCCATGGGTTGGCTAGACTCAGCTGAGTGATTCCTCTGCTTCCTATGGTTTCAGCTGAGGTCACACATGTGGGTATATTTAGCTGGAACTCAACTGGGTCTGGAGCCTTAAGGGACTCCACTCATGTGCCTGTACCTGGAACAGCTGGGGTCTAGCTGGACCCTTGTCTCCAGCGGGTAATGATACTTCTTCACATGTGGCTTAAGGAATCAGGAGACCATAAGCAGAAGATACACGGTGTTTCAAGACCCAGAACATTATATTCACCACATTCTATTGGGCAGAGAAAGCCCCAAGGCCAGCCCAAATCCCAGGATGGAAGTAGGCTCTTCCTTCTGGTATGAGGGGTGGCATGTGCACACAGCCACCTTTGCAGACAGCCTTCCACTTAGCAGTCATAAAGAACACCTTAGGTACATCAGCAAGATCAAATTATAAATTCCTTGGGAGTTAGCCATCATTAGAATTATAATGAGAGAAAAGCACTGGACACTTTGATACCTGAAAAGTCGTAATATGTGAAAGGATAGGAATGGATAGAAAGCACATGGGAAAGAGGAGAGCCCTTCCTGAGTTAATTCACAGACTTCGTATCATTTCAGTTCAAATATCTAAAGGATATTTGCATTCATTTGGAAAACAGATGAACAATGGTCAACAAAAAAGTTTATTATAAATCAATAGCAATAAAGCAGCATAATAAGGATTCAGAAGATAGAAATGAGTCCTTTTGAAGGGACAAAAAAGAGCCTAGGCTGAAATCTGTGTATATTTAAGAGTTAAATGGGAGTGGAATTTATGTACTCCATTTGGATTTAGGAATTAGAAAAGTCAATTCTAGAAAAAGCAAAGACAGAAAGATTAATGTTTTGGAAGCATGCCAGTGCCATAATTATGGAGTAATGAGAGAACATACAGAATGTCATATGACCAGATAAAAGTATTTAAATATTTAGATCTTTTATGAACCTGGACGAGAACATTAAAATAAAAGAGGAAGTAGAGGAACATGCGAAAGATTTGTAATAAATGTGATGGATAAAACCGGGGTGTCTCCAGTGAATGAAGGAACATGACCCCCCAAAAATGCCAAACGCCCGATAAGCAAACGGTCAAGTCATGTGTCGCACAGTCCAAAAGATGGATCATACAGTAGATAAGGACTTGAAAAGTATTCAACCACACATGTAAATGTAAACAGTAATGAGGTACCAGCTCACATCTCTTGAGTATGAAAAACGATGCAGCAGCTCGGGAAAGCTATGAAGAATGCTCACAGCTGGTATCATTATAAAGATTATAAAATGATCCATCTTTGCGTTCAAGCAATATGACAGTACGTAACTAGAGCCAGAAAATACCCCCCCTTTGACCAGCAGTCTCATTCCTGAGAATTTGCTTGCTGCCAGTCATTTAAAAGAATAGAAAAGCTTCCAACAGAGAAATGCTATGCAGCATTGTTAAAAATTAATTAGTAAGTGAATAGATAGGTAATGCAGCTCTACTCCAAAAACCAGTGTCTAAACATTGAGAACTCCTTCATAGGCTTGGGAGAGAGAAGGTGAGTCAAGTGCCAAGTGCGATTCCCACCACAGCCCACGCCCCTCACTGCCCTCTCCTGTGACAGGTTTGAAAACTGGCCGAGTCCCAGTTCTGGCCTGTTGTCACGTGGGCAGTTGTTATGTTTAGGGGGGAAGGGTGAGATGTGATCTTCGGCCCATCAGAACTCCTACACAACACCTGTCATCAGTGTTAGGCACTGAGACCATCATCTGTCACTTCCCTTATGACATAAAATAATGTGAAGTATAGAGGGACCGAATGACAGAGAGAGGTCCCATGCCCCCAATATGGTCAAGTGAACAAACCCCACTAGCAAAGCCAGCTGTGGGGCGGACAGTGAAGCCGGGGAAGGGAAGAGTGGAGTGTCTTTAAAAGTTCTAGGATTTAAAGTAGTTCTCTTATCAAAATATCAGAGGTTGCCAGTTGGTGTGTTCTCCAGCATTTGTTGAGTGGATGATGTTGTCTTACGTGGAAACAGGTGTCAAGGGCAGCATTATAAACTGGTGATTGGAGGCTCTCTGCGTGTCAGCGTCCTGCATGCATCCCCACAGGCCTTTCCTCCCCTCGGGATTTCAGCTCTTTCCCGCTGGTGGTCACTGTTGCAAGTGGATGTGTGTGGTCGTGACACGTGCACAATTAACAACTCATTTGTCAGGCACTGCCATGGGAATGAAATATTCCACATAAGTGTATTTTCTGAGAAAATGGAAGTTTACACTGCCCTTGGTTTCTTAAACAGAGCGCAATAAGCATACATGTTTATGATGAGAACTTTTTCGGTTCTGAAGCTTCAGCTTAAATTTGATGAAGTTGTTAGTTACTGTTATTTAATCACTGCGTGCATATAAGCATAAACAAGATGGGACATACGGTAAGACTCCTAAGGTTTAAAGAAACAGGAAAGAAAAGAAAAATGACAGCTACTTAGATGAAAAATGCACCGTTAATTTCCTATAGTAAATTGACTTAAATTCTCTCAAAAGTAAGAAAATTGTTGCGGACCAGACAACAGTACTTGTATCTTAAAGAATAAATCCAGAGCTTTTCTTTGTTCATTACTCAGATTCTAGACCATTACCTTGCGTCGTTCATCAGTAGGCTGCAAAAGGCTAAACCAAGGTACTTTATGTTTAAAAATGTTCTTTTTCCCGGCAGTCAGTTAAATAAGCTACAATTGGATAAGCCCAGTTGTCAGAAACAGAACCTGTGATTTTCTACCTGTAGCTAGAGAGCCCCAGCTTTTCTGTAATTTGTAGCTGTAGCAAAGACATATTAGAACAGCCTCATTTGTGGAAATAGGTTTAGTTTAACTTAGCCTCACACCTGCATGTCTCGTATGGCATACATCTGGCATACATTCTCCTGTTCTACACCCTCGGCAGACATGGCTATAGTTGATCAGAGCACCCGTCCCTCCCGATTCAGGCCTGGACTTACGGGTCTCTGACATTGCTCCACGCAGCTTGCCTGGAGTCGAAGGGATTATTTGCAGGCCACTGTTGTGCCATGTCAGCTCTAGATTGACACGGAATAGTCTGCTGACTGTTCACCCTCTTGTTTAGTGCTAAATGCACTAAAATAAGAAACCGACAGTAAACCACAAGGTCCTGCTGTGTAGCACAGGGAACTATATTCAACATCCTGTAATCAACCACCGTGGAAAAGAGCATGTGTATAAAACTGAACCACCCTGGCACACAACATTGTAAATCAACTATACTAATCAAAAAAATAAATGGTACAAATGAAACGGACATGGGAATCAGGTTTTTTGAAGATTCTTTCAAGGGAAGGATTGTTTCACGTGTAAGCCATGCCCTTATGTCCCCTCTTAGCCAGATTTGCGTGCACGGGAAAGAACAGAAAAGGGAAAAACCAAACGGTGTGGGTGACTGGAAACTGTGCTCGCCATTTACGTGAAGTTCATGCCCCGAGCCTCCCTTTTCTTACAGTTTTGTCTGTGCCTTTCGGTTCCATGTCAGTAATCACTTTGGTTACTGAATATTTATCATTACAGAAATAAGCTGTGGAGGAAGAAAGCTCCCACTGGAAACTTGTCACTAAGATTAGCTCCTTGACAGAGGAGTCTAGTGTCTGTACTTAATCAAGTAGCATTCTGGTTGCATTTCAACCTCCCAGGCTTTTCAGATTCAAAGTGAAATCCTCTTTGTGAAATTACATTGTTGGCAAAACTATTTCTGGCTTCTTGCCTCCTGACCGGTGGGACCTTGTTTCTCCCCAAAGAATGTTTGAGTGGCTGCCAGTAGCAAGTTCTGTTTCTTCAAATATGTGGGTACTTTGTCAATTAAGGTAAAAATAGATGAAGCGAGCTAAGACGTTTCCATTGAGATATTTAGACTTGACCATCAGAGCCAAGTATATTAAGAAAGATACAAGCTAACCAGATTATTGCCGGGTTGCATAAAATGTGGATGAGTCAATGAGACTCTTTTAAAAAGTGAGAAGAATAAGTTCTTTTCTTTCACTCCTCTTGGTCCGTAGTTAAATTCACCGTGGAATAAAAAATGCCTCTGCTGTTGATTTTTTGTAACTGGGAAGCATTCCCTGCTTTGGGGCCATCACAGAACAGAGGGTTATCTTGGACACTCCGGTAGACCAGACCCTCTACCCCTCCCCAGGGCCACTCACCCCCGGCCTGTGTGCCCCGTTCCTTCCTGCCCACCTCTGCTGGTCACTTCCCATCAGGTGTAAAAGTAGGCAGTGCCCAAGTTATGCTCTCCATCTTAATTAAATTACAAATTATTTCATCAGGTGCAAAACCCCTACTAGTCTGTACCAAGTTGGGAGCTTGGTTGTCTCTCAGGAATGTATAGTTACAGAAGGCCTCTCATCCTGTACAAGATGCAAAGCGTGGAGAAGGGCCCCTTAAAGCTTTACAGGAATGTCGGTTGAGGACACCTGCGTACCTGTCACGGGCGTTGAGGTGTCACAACAGAGGAAAGGGACACGTGGCTGGGGAGCCTGCTGTACGATCGATCAGGCGGGGTACTCAGCACAGCTCTGAGAGGGCCCGGACTCTGTGGGTGCCCCCATCCCTGAGGCCCAGTTCCTTCCAGGGCCCCCGGCCCCTCCGCCATCCTCTCTGATTAACGGGATGTGCGTGACCCTCCAGAATCCAGACGACCAGGTAGCCTCATTAGGAGAGGCGTCCAGCAGCCAGCGGGAGACAGAGGGGGATAAATTAAGATCAGAGCACCCCTGACACGGACCCCGGTGCGATTTCTCAGCCATTAATCAAATCACGTGAAAAAGCCACTGCAGCACTAACACACCTGCTGTATCCCTCGGATCCCAAGTGTGGATGCGCTTGGGTACCAGGGGGCGGGGGGTGGGTGGGTGGTGGATGATCAGATGTGTCCCTGGTTCTCCCCTGTACCTTTTGCTTGAAACCAGGATTTCTCTGCATGCCATTCAGCATTTCTGGGCCAGCGTTCTTGTGTCAGAGCTCAGCGCCCAGAGCTGGGCCAGTCTGGTTCCCGTTCCGAAGAACATCACATTCCCTTTCCTGCCTAGCTCTTGAGGCATTGGATGTGAAGTCACTGGTGCCAGGAACAGAAGTGGCCCCGTGCTAAGGAGGGGTAGTCGAGCTGATCATTGCCCTCGCTGCTGTAAACACTGCAGATCTTCCTCTAAGGGTTTTAGCGAGAATATGCAGCTAATCTCTCTCACCACCACTATCTTTACCTTCAGGGAGCTGGTCATTTAAGCAAACCCCAAGTGGTCACGCCTTCCTGCAGCCGGATTGGCACGTGTGTGGCATGCCACTTACCATTGTTGTGTCACGACAGCCGTGCGTCCGGCCAGGACCATGACACGTGAAGCGCACCATCTCTCCACGCTCTTTGGCGACGCGTAATACTATACCGTCTCTCGGGGCAGTTCCTGGTTTAGTACAACACATGCGCACAGGCAGACATGTACACACACTTACACACATGCAGATGTGCACACCGGCACACGTGTACACGCGTGCCCCTCACACGCACACAGCTGTATTTCCATCACCTGAGCCTGATGTGGGCCCCCAGAGGCGCTCAAGTGAGGAGAGATATCACTGTTCAAAAGAAAATTCTGAATCTTATTTCAGGTCTTGACTCAGATGAAGAACTTGGGCTACTCTGTCACCACACGTCCTATCTAGGTGATTGTCTGGGGCTGTTCGTGGGGTCTCCATCCTCCGTAACCTTTTCTTTCTGTTTCATTGTCTGCACGTCTGCATGGTTATGGAAGCACGGAGGGTCGGGGACGCACAGGGTGACGTGTCCGGGCCATTGTCTCAAGGAAGCTCTCCGGCTTTGGGGGGAGTTTGAGGAGAGGTCCCTCTCCTTGGTTCTGTGAATCAGTCATGTCATCCCCCGACGCCGTTCTTTCACGCCCAGCCAGCAGCTTGGGCATTTTTTTGGGACGTGGACAGAAGAAAGACTGGCTCTAGCCAATCCAGTGTCTGCTCCTTGCTCCCCCGGCTGTGATGTGAGTGTGCCATGCAGCCCAGAAGGACGGCCAGTCTGAATGCTTTCCGATTGTCAGCAGCTTGCCTGAGTTTGTTCTTTTGTTTTGTTTCACACAGGGCAGTAACTGACTGGGGGGAGGGGGAAGGTTTTATTTAGCAACTATTCATTTCCACGAAGAAACGGTGCCTTGCGGCTATTACTAATGCTTCTTTCTGTGTGTGTCTCCCATCCCCAGACCAGAGAGTGGCATCCTTCTGCACCCTGACAGATATGCACCCCGAGCAGGACCTGGAAGGGGCCCAGGAGCTGCCTTTATGTGTCGATCCTGGCAGTGGCAAAGATTTCATGGACGCCGCTGGGTATGTGACTCCTGTGGACCGCCTCCCTCCCGTGTCCCGGGCCCCAGTTGTTAACAGGGATTCAGCTCAGCCCCGGCCACAGCCAGGAAACCATTTCCACCTGCCTTCCCCAGCCCTTCAGGACCCAGAGAAGGGACCGAGCGGCCCGAGTCGGCTTCTGCGCTGCCGGGTGGGTGGAGCTTGTGCTCCGCGGGAGGGTCCTGCCAAGACGTGTAGTCAGTGCCCTTGGCGGTGAGGCTCTCGGGCCGGGTGGGGGGGGTGTGATGCCCGGTCAGCATCTGCCCTGATCACTGCAGCGGCATCAGACGGGGGTACCTCGCTGACCGTCCTCCATCTGCCGAGGGCACGCTCCCGCCCACCAGCCCTGGTCTCGCCCCCAGCCCCACGGCTCCCGCTGAGGGGTGCCGAGAGCGAGCCGTCTCCACCCCTGTGTCCTCGGCGTGCTCATCACCACAGAGCATATGTTCTCTCAGTGTCACCCACGCCTAGTTCCAACTTCTCTGTCAACTCGAGTTATCAACGACTTGCGTGTCCATCTTGGTGATGAGCCTCTTGATACTTCCTTCACAGAGAAAGGCAGACTTGGGGACATGGAGTCTATATTTGGTTCTCAGGACTTCGTTCTGGGCTACCTAATCTCAGCTGCTAACTGCATTTAGATCACCCATCTTTTGCTTTCTTACCAATGTGTATGCCTGTAGAGAGATTCTGAATCCCCTTTTAAATCAAAAGCGACCCAGGAGGGATTTTTCCACCAAAGCGGCAATGCGTTCACTTTCGACATCTGACATAATCTTATTTATTTCCTTGCGGGGCTCTAAGCGCCCAGTAGAATGTTTTACGTGAAAACTTTACCAACGAGAACTCTTGACCGCGGTGTCTTGACCTCAGCGCGCTTGAGTCTTTCTAAGTCTTTCCTTCCTTGCTAGGGGGCGGTCTCCATCCACACTGACCGGGAAAGTCAACCAGCTGGAGCTGGTTCTTCGGCAGCTGCAGACCGACCTTCGGAAGGTAAAGCAATCGATTGGAAGCCCGTGCTCAGAACTCTTTCTCTCACACAATCAACCTTTTTTAACTATTAGGAATAAAAAAAAAAAAAAGACACTCAAGAAAGATAACTGCCCTAATCAAAACCCAACAGTAAATGGAAATGGACACTCCTGAGGTCTGATTCCATCTTCCTGCCCACAGCTACTGTATTGCATTGTAGGGGACACAAGGTCCTGTAGATCGGACTGAATGAGGTTGAGCCCTGGATGGCCAGCCTTCAGAATGAGGCAGAAATGCAGAATGAGGCTAGCGTTTTTCAGTTCAGTGAGTTATCGGTTGCACCAACATTTATGAGCTGACCTAAGAAGAGTTAGTTGCTATCAGGAAGCCTGGTCTCCCCAAGCTGCTTCCTCCTACTGAGTCAGCGTCTGCTCTACCCATCACCCTGTACGAGCTTGGTCCTCAAAAGATGTGAAGTCATTCATTCCACAGACATTTGCTGAGCTCTTTTTGGATCACCAGCACCGTGTTATCCGTAGCCGCTTTGCTATCCGGGGAAATGGAATGGAGTGCTGTAGCTGGAGGGTGATGGTGAGGCCGGGAGGGGCCGTGGGGAGGGTTTTGTTGGTGGAAGAAGGGAGAGGTGACAGCCGGCATGAACGCTGGTGGAGATGATCCATTTGGGAGGGAAATAATGTCCTGAGCCTAACAAAGAGGGAGCTGGCCTGGATGGGAGTAAGGACCGTCCACACATAGTTACCAGAGCAGAGTGTGTGTGCATGTCTGTGTGTGTGTCCGTGTGCATGCGTGCACACATGCCTTCATACACGAGTACAGGCCTACCTCAGAGATATTGCAGGTTTGGTTCCAGACCCCTGCAATAAAGTGAATATCACAATAAATTGGATCACATGAATATTTTGGGCATATAAAAATTATGTTTATGGTATACTGTAGTCTGTTATGTGTGCAATAACATTATGTCTATAAGAACAATGCACATACCTTAATTAAAAAATACTTTTTATGCTAAACAATGCCAAAACAATTACAGCACATTGAAAACCACAGATCGCCATAACAAATGTAATAATAATGAAAAAGTCTGCGATATTGGGAGAATTACCAAGCGTGACACAGAAACATGAAGTGAGCAAATGTAATTGGCAAAATGGCGCCGATGGACTTGCTCGGTGCAGGGTTGCCACAAACCTTCAGTTTGTAAAACACTGGTATCTGCAAAGCAAGGCATGGCTGTAGTCCAAACAGAGATAGGTTGGCAAAGTTCCCCTCTGGTTGTTTCTTTATTCCAGAGCCGAGGGTGAGCGATGGGAAGGAGGTTGAGAGATTTAAGGATGGAGGGTAAGGTGTAGAGTGAAGGATAATTGGACCAGATGTATTTGGTAAGACTGCAGCATAAGTTAGGTATTTTCCTCCAGTGTGGATGACCAGCTGTCCCAGCTTGCTTGGCATGGAGGGTTTCCCAGGACACAGAACTTTCAAAGCTGGAACTAAGAACGTCCCAGACCAGCTGGGCCAGCTGGTCACCCTGTCTCCAGATGTAGGTGTAGAAAAGTTAGAGAGTTGAACTTAACCAATATTCGATTTCAGACAAGAAATTAAGACCAGTAGCGTTAGACAAGGACCATTCAGTGTGTATAGGATGTGATTAAACTGAGGGACTCAGAGTCTAAGGTGGGTGAGAAGGAATAATGTCATCACAGGGGGTGTCAGTGGACGCTGACAATAAGGTAAGATTGGTAGATTAGATCATTTTTGGAGGGGTGGATACTGGAGAAATTATTTTAGAAAGACAAGAGGCGGTGGTCAGGCAGTGGGAGCTCGAAGCATTTAGGAAGATGTGCGGTTATCAGTAATAGCTTCAAGGTACAGGAAATGGCCCCAGGAGGGGGCGTGAGGAGGACAGTTTTCGAGGTCACAAAGAGACTGAATCAGGTGGAACATCTACGGCATCTTAAGATCATCAATAAACATGAGGGATGGAGGAAGAAAGAAGAAAGGTGAACCACATTCTAGAATCTTCCATGATGGAAGGGAGTGGAGATATAGTCAACCATGACAAAGAGCAGGGGTGGCAGGTCTTACAGCCCATGTCAGGCTTCTCACGGGAGCTGGGATTTTAGGGGAGAGAAGTTACCTGCACCGGGCAGCCGGGGCGAGGTGTTGACCTGGCAGCCTCCAGGCCCTGTGCTCTTCAGAACAAGCCCTCATCCCCAGGAGAGAGTCAAGACTCATGTCTAGCTGAAGATAAAGGGAATATCCAGGGAAAAGCTTGAGAGTTTAGCAGGTTTCGGTGACACAGGACGCATTCCATGGGTGGAGTTAAAGGGTCAAGGGGTCAGGAGAGGTGGGCAACTGAGCCGCAGCAGGGCCCTGGGGATGTCTGAGCCGTGTTGGGAATGAGAGCCCTGGGGCGTGGGGCGGCCAGGAGCTTGAACCTCTTGTGACTGAGGGAAGTGGGCTGAGTCAGCAATGAGTTCTAACACCAGCCTCCACTTGGGACCGGTGTCTTTGGTCGAGAGGTGAGAAGGGACAGGAAGTAGCAGCAAAGCTCGAGGGCAGGGCCAGACACGCCGAGGGGGCCAGTCTCCTGAAGAGTCTTAGCCCCCGACACACCACACGGCCGTGGGCACAGGGCTGCAGGTGCCTCTGCGGAGTTAGCCATCAAGTCATCTCCCACCGCCACTGTGACAGTGACCCCCCCCTCCCTCTGTCTGGGGCAAGACATCCCTTTCAGCGTCTGGGAGCTCAAACTTGTACGTTTTCTGTTGCTGTCTGTTGGAAACTCCAGGTCTGATTCTTATGAAAAATCTTTTTTTTTTCCTTAATACTAGTTGTTTATTTATTTTCGGCTGTGTTGGGTCTTCATTGCTGAGTGCGGGCTTTTTCTAGTTGCGGCGAGCGGGGGCTACTCTTCGTTGCGGAGCACGGGCTCTAGGCGCGTGGGCTTCAGTAGTTGTGGCGCGCGGGCTCAGTAGTTGTGGCTCGCGGGCTCTAGAGCGCAGGCTCAGTAGCTGTGGCGCACGGGCTTAGTGGCTCCGAGGCATGAGGGATCTTCCCGGACCAGGGCTCGAACCCGTGTCCCCTGCGTTGGCAGGTGGATTCTTAATCACTGCGCCACCAGGGAAGCCCCTGAAACATCTTGATAATTTGTACATAGTTTTTAGTGGCACCCTTTGAAGGTCATTAGGGAAATACACTGTCCCAGGAAAGCTTTAAGATGAGATGAGCTCATGATAAACAAGCCCAGGATCAGCAGCTATGCTGATTCCGACTTGTCCAGTAAGGAGGTGCACCCGGGAAGCTCTGCCCTCCTGTCCAAGGCTATACCTTTTCCCAGGCCCCCTTTTTCAGAGAGAGGATAGTATAGACTGTGGTTAATCACCTTCCCGTATAACAGCTGTCTCGCTTCCTGTTGGGAGCAAAGTGGGATGAAAGGAAAGAATATTCTGAGTTACTCGTCCCCACCCCCCTGTTTTTGGCAGAAACCAGAGCGGGCAATCAGATTCCCTCTCACCTCAAGAAATAAATAAGTAAATCACTAAAAAAAAAAAAAAAAGGGGTAGAAGCGTTCGGACCGCAGCTGGGAGGAGAGAGCGTGTCCGGCAGATGCATGACCATCTGTTTCCACCCCCTTCCCCCAGGAAAAGCAGGACAAGGCCGTGCTGCAGGCCGAGGTGCAGCATCTGAGGCAGGACAACCTGCGGCTTCAGGAGGAGTCGCAAACGGCCACGGCCCAGCTGCGCAAGTTCACGGAGTGGTTCTTCAACACCATCGACAAAAAGCCGTAACCTGAGCGCCGCCCAACCAGGGGCCCCGGGGAAGCCCGGGGTCCCTTCACAGTCGCCAACATGTGGTTTCTCGCTGTGCTTCCAGCCCACCGTAGCTGTGCTTGCTGTCCCACTCTGTCTAGCACCACGCCCCCAGCAGCACAGGGAGCCGCCGTGTGACCGCGGAGAGCAACGCTCGTGAAGATGAATGTAACGCTGGTGTCGAGATGAATGTAAACTCTGGCGTCAGTGTGGCCCTCTGAGGCTCTGCTGAAACGGAGCTCTGCATGGGCTTCCCTCCTGAGGGACGAGGGTTGGGTTTTATGTCCTATATATCAGGTGACTTGGTAGAGATATTAAAACAATTGACCATAGCTTGGGCTTTAGAATTGTAAAATAAACATGAGAACAAATAATCAGACATATACTTTAATGTTAAAGGTGCTCTATTTTTTTGGATGTACAGTAGTTTTTATTTCTACAGCCACATTATCATAGCAATAAGAAAGAGGCAGGGGAAATAGTTGGAAAAGCCGTGTCGGGAGGGGGACAGAAAAAGCACTGATGTGTCTAACATGAGTTCAAATGCAGTTCCTTTAGAGACTTATTTATTTGCAGGAGCAGACGGTGCCTGAATATTAACAGTGTTCTGATTAAAAAAAAAAGAAAAGAAAAGATACATATGCCTTGTAAATGGCTCACTGAGTAGTTACTTCAACTCTTAGTTCACTTTTGTATAGTTAATGCTCTGTTGAAAAAAGAGTCAACCTGCTTACTTACGAGAGCTCCCCTGTGTGCCATGAGCCAGCAGAATCACTTGTACGATGCCAAATTTGTTTTATCTTTGTACAGAAGCTTTGATGAAGTGTCTTGTATTTAACACCCTTATTTAAGCTTATTTAACCTTAAATTGTTAATTTTATAAACGTTGGTTTCACCTGCACTACTTTGGAGGGCGGTGTAGGTAGCAGCGGGCTCAGCAAAGGCTGAGCTTGCCCAAGCAGAGTGAGGAGTGGGGCAGGACCTTCCTTCTAACAACTGGATGCTGCTAGTAACAAGTTGTTTATATTGCTTTACCATTTTTAACTGTTCTATTTGAGATGAACGTACATTTTGCTTTTTTAATAAATGTTTAAAAGAGTCCACACAAGGAACAGTGTTGTCAGGTGAATGTAGACTTTGGGGTTCTAACATGTCCACAATCTGAGTGTATGAGAATTTATTCCTGGTAATTTAGGACCTTAATCTGTACTGAGTACTACCGAGCCTTCTTACAGAATCCCAACCTGATTTAAAGTAAAAAGTTACTAGTACCGATTAACGGCTGCCACGTGCCAGACACTGTCCTCTACACCTTCTCATAGATCTCATTGAATCCTAACAGTATCCTTACTAGGTGGGTGCCGGGATTCCCATTTTACAGCTCAGTAAACTGAGGCTAAAGTCAAGTGATTTACCCAAGATTGCCTTTCATTTTGATCTTTTTTTTAATTTTTAATTCAGCAAAGCATTTGGTCTTGCTTACAAGAAAATAAATGCAATAAAGTAACAGGGATTTGAAGAATAATCAGGAAGGAGTAAACTGCAAACTTGAATCAAAGGTGAGACAGAAAGAAGACAGAACGTGAGCCAGAGTGGGAAGGGAACCACAGTAATCACGGTACAAAGTTCTCCACCTTCCGAGAACAGAAACCGTATCGAGAATTTGGAGGAAGGAGAGTGATTCCTAGAATTTACCTTTCAGTGGGATTTCTCACGTGGGCTTCATTCACATGAGCGGCGTATTGAAAACTAAACGGTCCTGCAGCGGATAGACCGGGAGGCTTCATAAGGCTGTTTCCTGAAGCCACCCCTGCAGAAGATACAGGCGCACCTCCGGGACACATCCAGGGACTGCGGGTTCTCAGGAAGCCAGGGCTTCGTGGGCCAGGTAGGCATCTTCCTCCCTCCTCGCTCTCCCTCTCACCGTGAACCAGGCACTTGCCAGGAGTGGAAGAGCCATCAGTGATCGAGACCAGCTGGGCCCTGTCTTCGCATACAGTCTAATAAGAGGAGACAGGCATCCGATTATTTGAAACTCAAAGAAATAAACAGTGCCTGGGATGGGCTCCCTTAATTACTATTAAAATTATACTGTAGTAACTATAGTAATAACTGACATTGTTTGACTCGTTACCGTGTGCCAGGCCCTGTTCTGTGTCCATTGTGTCTATATGGCAACCCTAAAGGACAGCTACCTAGATCATTCCCTCTCTACAGGTGAGGAACAGAGGTGTAGACAGTGTGCTTGGGGAGACCTCCGTGGGTAGGAAACTTCTGAAGGTGGGGAAGGAGCAGGCCAGGGTGAGCTGGGGGGAGTTTTCCAGGCAGAGGGGACACAAGTTCAAAGGCCCCGAGTCTGTAGAAAGGATATAGGGAAAATAGGTAGTGATGGGGAAAGAAGGAGACGTTAGAAAAGACAGGTAAAAGCCAGATCATTAAGTAACTCTAGGCCATAGTACAGTCTGGATTTTATTCTAAGTCAAAAGGAAGGTGTTGAAGCAGGAAAGCACGGTAACGTGTCCTGTGTTTTATTTTTGTTTTGTTTTGTTTACTTCATTATACGTCCTGTGTTTTAAAGGCTTACTCTGACTCCGAAAGCAGAAGGAGTTGCATGGAACAGGGGCCTGCAGACTTTCTGTATGAGGCATACGGTCGATATTTTAGACTTTGAGAGTCACGTACTGTCTGTTGCCTGTTCAGTTCTCATTTACTGCCCTTTAAAGATGGAAGAGCCATTCTTAGCTTGCAGGCCACTCACTAGCATCGTTGACCAACGCCTGGGATAAGGGAAAGAGTAGAGAAGGAAGACCCATGTAGGTGAGAGATGATGCGGGCAGATAAGATGGGGGCAAGAAGTTGGGTCACACTTGACAATGTCTTCGCAGGTAGAACCCACAGAGCTGCTGCTGAGTGGGAGACTGGAGGGAAAGGTTTGGTTCAGGGATAAGCCCTAAGCTTCAGAGGAATCACTGGACTGCATGTTCACCAGACAGTTTGCCATAAACATCTCTTGCCTTCAGTAAAAGCTGAACTACGGCTAGTTGTGTGTCCTGGCCAGGGCCTGCGTGCAGCTCTGCGTCACTGGGCAGAGATGGATGCTTTTGCTTCAGAGGGCAACCAAGCGGATACCAAGTTTGACGTTGCTTCGAGAAAACAAAGGAACCTGGCCCAAACCTAGCTGAATGGAGAGTCATCCCACCTCCCTAGGGCACACCTACAGACCAGAAGGGGTTTTTTGAAGATATACTTCTCAGTCTGTACCGGCAAAGAATGAATCATCTCTCAAGTCTGCCAGGTGGCCATGCCAGAGAACATGGCCGCATGACTTTTGGCCTGCTCAACTTTTTTCAAACGTATGTTTCCAGTGAACAGCCAACCTGTAGAAAATCCCTGTGTCGTGTTCCCCTTAGTGTGCGTGGTTTTGAGCAACTTGGCATCCTCGTAGACACTGTTAATTACAAAAGGTACCCCCCCCCCTTAGCAGCTAAACACGTTGACTTTCTGTAAGGACTTCCTGGGTACAAACTAATTAAATATTAGAATGTATCTACTAGAAACCATTTTTATTTTAGAATAAGTGATATCAAGCAGGTTTTTTCTAACCATAGGCAGTGATCTACTATGTATTCAGGCCATTCTCGTATGTGGCAAAGTTAATTCGTATTTCAGAGGCTTTATCCTGCTCTTCTCAGTCTCAAGGAGCAGGTTTATCGTTAAAAATATAGCTTACATCGGGCAGGGGCGGAGAGCGTAAAAATACAGTCCTGCCTTTACTGATACCACAATTATCTCTGAAATGTCAGGAGTTGGCTGTCCTGCTAACCCATTAAAATGCAGAAACCGATGACATGTCATTAACCGAAGTCTCCATCAAACTCATGAAGCCATAAACCATAGCTGCTTCTCTGCAGAGCCAAAGACCAAAGAGATATCTATTCAAAACGCTTGTTTTTTTCTTTTTCTTTGCGGTACGCGGGCCTCTCACTGTTGTGGCCTCTCCCGTTGCGGAGCACAGGCTCCGGACGC